TAACATTTTGATCGATGGAAATTAGGGCCGAAATAAATTTAAAAAGTTTTTAAAAGCTCTGTAAAATACTTATTGTTTGGAAAACTAAAGCTTATCTAAATTAATAGTGATATTAAAATGGGCAAGAAATGTTGTAAGCAAGCAGTGCGCCATGTATTGTCGGATCCATGTTTCATAGGCAGGAAATATAAGAAACAACACGTTAATCGTCCGAACGGGCCTCTGATTTTAAAAACGTAGAGAACTGTGCATATATTATGAATCCACCAGCTCAGTCACGGGACTTAAGGCCTATTAAGATTTTGTGGGTAATTTTACGTGTGGCTATTCATTAAGAATCGATTCCTATAGCGTGTAGCTCCCATAAGATATTTTGAAATTTTGTGCTGCTTATCTGTTGCCAACATTGCTCCAGTCGCGTTCTTGCTGGGGTTGAGCGTATTAATTTATGGGCATAGCTCAAATCAACCTTATTGATTCAAAATGGACCGCAGATTATTAGCCATCTATGGACGATTGGTTTGCCGCCTTTTTTTTTAAATAGTCCTACATATTTCCTCGTGTACCTTATCACTAAAATCAAATAAGAGGTCCTCGTCGGGAGATCCCGACTAAGGGAAACCATGAACCCTCTTATTCCAGCACCAAATTCAGCTGGCGCTACGCAAGCAGGGTTTGAGCTCGCAATAAATCACACTCCTTTGCCGCAGTTTCTAATCAACAGTTACACTGCTAAAAAAAATATACAAAAATAATTTTCTCGGTAGAGTTCGAACTCGCGACAGACCACACAAACTGCCACCGCCTCTACTCAACAGTCACACCAATCATCAAGTCGTAATAAGAAAAAAAAAAATTTAAATAGTAGCACAGAAGACAATACAATCGCAGTTGCAATATTGTTGATAGAATTCGAAACAGACACGCATGAATGTATACAGAAATTGTTGGAATTTGCGCTCGCTGCCGCAAGCACGTGTTTCTTAACCGATCTTAATGAAACTTTCTACAGTATAACTTATTGCACCAAAGAATATTTGTGTATTCTTAAAAAATCAATTGCATTTCAATTGTTAAATTGGTGAGCACCACAAGTTGGGTTATTAACTTGATTTATAGCTATGAGGTGGTAGCGGGGAGGTAGCGATAGGTATAAAATGAAAGATACTTGACATTTATATAATATTCTAGAAGCAACATATCATGTTTGGTTTTTTATTCATTGCTCGGAAATGGAGTATGTTATCGATTATCGAAAACAAACTCGATCTGCGCAGGCACTAAGAGGACCTACGGCTAAAATTTCAAGTCTCTAGTTCTTAAAGGTTCTTATATCCTTGCGACCATACATAGGGGCAAACGGGCAGACAGACAGACGGGCATGGCTAGATCGACTCGCCTATTGATGCCGACCAAGAATATTTACACTTTTTGGGTTCGAAGAAGTTTCCTTTTTCCTGTTACATAAATTTGCACAAATACATAATACCCTTTTTACCCATTTTTAATGGCGTCAGAGTATAAAAAGTAAGTCGCTGTACCGAAGTCGAACTCGCAACTCCATTCAACCAACAGAGCTACGAGCAACGCCTCATATCTCACACACATACTTATAATCCCGTTTCGATGAAAAAACAAGTAAGAGGGGTTCTATTCGGAAGCTCCCGACTAGGGGATACCCTGAACTCTCTTCTTCCAACAGCAAATGCATATATATATATTCTATTTTCGAAGCTATAGGTCAAGTTTGGTGACTCTAGCTCTTATTATTTACCAAAATTGCGCACAAAACAGGATATCGATATCGATTGCTTGGAAACGGAGTAAGTTATCGATTATCGGAAACAAACTCGATCTGCGCGGGAACTAGGAGCACCTACATCTAAAATTTAAAGTCTCTAGCTCTTATAGGTTCTGAGATCCTTGCGTTCATACATACGGACGGACGGACGGACATGGCTAAATCGACTGGGCTATTGATGCTGATCAAGAATATATATACTTTATGGGGTCGGAGATGCTTCCTTCTGCCTGTTACATACATGTGAATTTCGCACAAATACAATATACCCTTATACCCATTTTTAATGGGTTCAGGGTATAAAAGCCGACGTAAAATATTAGCACAAACACAGAGAACTGTATACAATAAAATCGTAATTGTAATACTAGTTGGGTGTAAACAGCAATTTTCTTTAATAACTTTTATTTTTTTATTGTTATGCTTATTCGTTTAGTTGTGGGCGGGGGTGGCGGGGGTGACGATAACTATAAAATGACAAGAATTTATAGAATAAACTATTACACGCTTCTGACCCATTTTCAATAGGTATAAGGTATTAAAATGGAAGTATCGATACGATATCGACGATATCGCCGATTATGTTTCAATTTCACAAACCCTGATAGCGGCTTATCTATAGTCTGAGTGACATGATTTATTTTTTTTAAAGCAATTTACGATTTATTCCAATATAATTCGTACTTATGTTGCTGTCCAAAAACTTTGCTGTGCCTTGTCGAAATGAATTCCAAACTAATTTTATTCCTGATGTGAAAGTACAGTAATGCTCATTTGCCAATAGCTTTCGAATCTGTGGGAAAAGTAAAAGAAATAACAAAAAAACTAATCTGTTGGCGAGCAGCTCTACTAACGCCGTACCTTCCGCCGAACCGAAATCGCATGTAGATGGCTTACTTTAATCATAATTTTCTTGAGTAAATTTGCAAATGCGACATTGGGCAGTCTTGCTGAATTAGTAATAATACTGTCGTCTCTTTTGATTTTAAATATTAATATCATAAACGTTTATATTTTTTTTCTTTTCTTAAATAACTCTTCAATAGTACTCGAACCAGTACCGTACAGTTATGTACAGTACAGTTATGCCAACAATTAATTTTCGATAAAAAAAAACGAATTAAACACATCACAAAATGCAATTGAATCGTATTTGCAATGCTGTTTATAGATTACAATAAAGACGCGCATGAATGTCTGTATATAGATACACAAATTCTTGCAAGTTACGCGGCAGCTATGCCGCAAACACGTGTCAATACACGCACACGTTTTCTTTAACACCTTCTGTATTTTTAACAGATTTTGGTGAAATATTCAACAGTGGATCTTACTGTGTATTCAGCACCGACTACTTCTGGTCGCAAAAAAAGACCCATGCGAAATCTAGCTCAGGTTGTCAAAGTCAATCTCGGTGCCCCCTTGGCCCCACCAACTCAGGTTTTACCTTCAGACCCGTCAGCTCCTACTTTAACAGTTGTTGTCCCTCGTAGACGAGTTTTTGTGTAGCGACTTTCGTCTGATCACTACCATAATACATGGACTGCCAATATTGCTAGCAAATCTTCTGTTAGCGTGTCAATCACAAAATTTAATTTCTCTTTTTCTCGTGAAATAGCATATTTCAAAATTAATGCTTCACATAATATGTTCAATAACATAATTGTTTAGGCTGTCAAGCAGAAAAAGCAAAATCAGCCTGTCACAAAAAACGAATTTCGTCTTTCGAACCCTCTTATTCCAACACCAAATAAATTAAAAAAAAAAAGTTCCCTTGGCAGGGTTCGAACTTGCAACTGACCCCATTACTTGCTGTCGACTCTACGCAACAGTCACAACAGCAAAAAATAGGTAGGGCTCGAACTCGCGACAGACCGCACCACTTGCTATGCCTCTACTCAGCAGCCACACCAATAATTATGTACTTATGATAAAAAAGGGACGATAATAGCACAACAGAAAAAAGTCGCAATTACCATGCTGTTAGAATGCGAAGCAGACGCGCATGAATGTGTGTGTGTGTACATGTATACAGAAATTTGTAAAGCTGCTGCCCCATCCAATTGCGCAGTAACATATAACTTTGGTTTTGTCTTAGCCGATCTTAAAGACCTTTTCTACAGTATATCTTATGGTACCATAGAAATTTAGTGTATTCTCAAAAAGTCAATTGCGTAGCTTAAATTGGTTGGAAATACAAGTTGGGTTATTAACTTGATTTATAGTTCAGGGGTTGTAGCGGGGAGGCGGCGATAAGTATAAAATGAAAGATACTTGATCTGCGCAGGTACTAGGAGGACATACATCTAAAATTTCAAGTCTGTAGCTCTTATAGGTTCTGAGATCCTTGCGTTCATACATACGGACGGACGAACAGACAGACGGACATGGCTAGAACGACTCGGCTATTTGCATTTTTCACAAATACCCTTTTTACCCATTTTCAATAAGTTGAGGGTATTAAATCGTTTTATGATTAGCACTTCCTTTGATTCGGATATAATCTCGTTTTATGATTAGCACTTCCTTCGATTCGGATATAATCGCATTTTCAAAAACATGGTTAAATTCAACCATATCTGATTTTGACGTTTTTTCGAATAATTTTGCACAGAAATGATCGGCCGACTCGAGGCGGTGTGGCCGTTAAAGCAACCCTCCAATCAGAACTTTTCTGTGGGAGATTGTCCCAGCTTGGGCAACTTTTCCATCACGTGATATTTACTTGACAGGCTACTATGTTCCTCCTTCTGCCGATATTAAAGTTCATATGAAACTTATTACTTGTATTAAAGAAGTTACTTCACACATGCGTGATATGACCTATTCATAGTGTTGGGTGATTTCAATTTGCCGAACATTTCTTGGTTATTATTAACTGCTGAAAAGTATTTAGTACGCTTAGCTCAGCTCAGCATGACTTTATAGATTTTATACTAGTCCTTTCGTTGTTTCAATTCAATTCAATTTATTACTTGATCTTGTATTTGTTATGGATTACCTAACTTCTAATGAATGCAGGTCCCCTCCGTTATCTTTTCCAGAGGATGTATATCATCCTACTTTAGAGGTTGCAATGTTCAATTGCAATCCACTTATTTCACATTAATCAGCTACCAACAAGCCGTTGCTTTCGCAAAGAAAACTATTCCTTGCTTAATCAACGTATTCATGCAACCAAATGGTTATTTTTATATGACTCGGTTGATATGAATACTCCTCTTAACTCTTTTTATAACATCCTGAACTCCATCTTAGATATGTCTATTCTCGATTCAATTCCTCCGGCTGCTTTTTCTGGTGTACTCCCACACTATCAAACCTAAAAAAATGAAATCTAAATATTAATATAAAGTTTAATAGGTCTGGTTCGAGTACTGACTTGACCAAATATTCCATAGCCAAGGCGATCGTCTTTCTTCTCAATTCTCAATGCTATAAGAATTATCTAACTTGTTGCAAAAATGCAATTCCCCCAAAATCTGAGACAGTTTTACAATTTTTGTAAACTTGAACCGCAATTCTTCAATTTTGCCATATTCTTTTTCTCTCAGAATGGAAAAAGCAAGAAATGACTGATTCTGCTAACCTTTTGCTAATTTTTTCCAATCAACTTACTCTTCAGCCTGTCCTAATAATAATTCTTACCCTTCCTCTATTTCTATACCTGATTCTATTATTCCACATTCGTCTCTCCTCTCAGCTATAAATTCTTAAGAACCTTCTTACTATCCTCGGCCTGACGATATTGCTAGTTGTCTAATAAAGGAGTGTAGTTCTTTCCTTCTTCGTCCATTGCTAAAGCTTTTTAATTTATTCCTTGAATCTTTTGTCTGTTGCATTGGATTTCGACCAAAAGAGTAAAGCTGAGGCTGACTATCTCAAAACAGGCTCAAGTTAATTGTGGTGTTCCTCAATATAGTCATATTGGCCTTTCCTCTTTTTATAAATTATCTCCCCTCAGTTCTATCATATGCGGACAATGTGCTACTTATTCTTTCATGCACTAATCCTCTACATCATTCTCGTCTTCAATTGCATTTAAATTGTTATTACTTTCAGTTGTGTCACACCTTTTCTTAGCAGTTATACAATCGACAATACCCCATTATTACGTATCATACGTATACTATCAGTTAAGGATCTAGGCGCTCTTTTTGATTCTAAGCTCTGTTTCAAACTTTACATAGATACCATCGATGGACCATAGATGGAGAAAATAGTGTAGTTAGATCTATTAAATGATGGTCTAAAGTGTTACTGTTCGCCCTATCCTTTGCTCTTGCATCTGACCTCCGCAGTATAATAATAGTCAGGATCGTATTAAATTTGTTCGGGAACAATTTCTGCTTTTAGCCTTACGAGGTTTAAATTGGGACCCTAATCTTCGGTTCCCATCCTACTTCAGCAGGCTTCTTCTTCTTAATCTTCCATCGATAACCAACCCTACGAAAATCCTTGATTTTCTCTTCCTAAATAGGTTGATTGTGCTTTGTCTTCAATTATCTGATCCGTCTAGACCTACCAGGAATGTTCGCCCCTTATTAATACCTACGTGCACAACAGACTACTCTACGTTTCGTGTTTCGTTTCACGTGATATGCAAAAATTATAATAGTCCCAAGTTTCTGTACCCCTCGTTGCTTTCGGGAACTCACTCACCATTACCAGTTATGCCCCCTGCTCATAGCTTGCCGGACAGGCCATACATTTTCCTACATCCGTTCGGTGTGTTACCACTACTATCTTTTTAAACTATCTACTTAACACTCTTCTAACTCCCTTCTTCTTAGCTTAGGCTCTAATAGCACCACTGACAAATATAGCTGTGAAAAGGCGCATTGCTTGGTGACGGGCCAATGGTGACGATATGAGAAAATTGTGTATTCTCATTAGGTTTTCAGTATCTAACTTTTATAATTTGACATATTGAATAATTAGGAAGACACTCGTTTTTTTTCGACCATTTAATAAATGAACAAAATTAATGATATACATGAATGTATACTATTAAAGAAGCTACATGTCAAGTTTCGTGACCATAGTTCTCTGTTTTGATATCGATTTGTATGGACGGCTTGGAAACGGATCAAGTTATCGATCATCGGAAACACAATTTACTGCGCGGCCACTAGGCGGACCTACATAAAAACGAAATATTTAAGTCTGTTGCTCTTATAGGTTCTTAGATCCTTAATACATACGGATGGACGGACAGTCAGACGGGCAAGGCATTTATCGCATTTTCAATGGGTTCAGGGTACAAAAAAAAAGTATATTGTATTCTAAACATGAGTATTTGATACACAAAATGTTAATCAAATTGTTAACATGTGTATTTCAAAATTATAGTGCTGTTGCTACTTACTGGTTCACCCTGCAGAGGTGCATTCTTAGGCTGAAGACGATCATTTCGAGGATCTCGTTTATATTTATTTTCCTCCTTAATTTTTCCTTCGTGGTTCTGAGTTTTTTCTCTAGCATTCTCAAATCTGAAAAAAATATATTTATTATATGTAATTTATATACTGTTGCGAATGTTTTAATAATTCGTACGATGATTATTTAATAGTGGTCACGCACATTGCCCTTTTCCTTCTTGGACGTATAGCGACCCGTATTCTTTTTGTTAACGAATAACATTTAAATTAAATTGCACCTTTGCGGATCTGGATTTTTGACAATGCTCCGATTGTAAGCTGTGGTAATACACATGCCTAGTCCTACTATACTCAAATATAATGTGTTTTATAGAAATCTTATGATATTTTGTGTTTTTAGCTCTCACTGTTTTCAAAACAAAACTCAACAAAATTGACGTCACATATCGTAAAGCTGTTGACGAGTGTGCTAATTATTGTCTACATAATATAAGACAACCTATCCCCTACTACAATTTAATGATAGAGAGATAGAGTACAAAATATTTATGTAACAAATTTTGCTCTGCAGTAGAAGGAACTATAGATACCGCAAGGGTACGCAATATTCTGTGTAAATATACACTCTACAAAAGGTATCAAAGAAGTTTAGATTAATTCCGGCTGATTTTTCTTAAAGGAAATGTCTGTAAATATTAATGTGCTATATACTATTTGTATATCTACAAAAAAGTAGTATAATTGTGGATTAAACTGGGAAAAAATAATTTCGATATCGACTCATCGATTGCTTGGATACGAAGAAATGCGGAATGGCGTATTGGGATTTTTGACATCGGAGGCGATGTTTTATCAGAGGGATGCGTATATAACAGGGCATAATCACCAATTCCTTTTTTTGATTGATATTCCTTGACCTGCGATATACCATGTCGACTATTAGGTGAAATCAGCTAGAAGGTGGACACCAGCGATAATCGATAACTTCCTCCGTTTCCAAGCAATTGATAAAAATCGATATCGACATCCTGTTTTTTAAGCAAATTGGGTAAGGAAAGTTTGTTTTTTTTTTTTTCTTTTTTGCTGGTGTGGCTGTTGAGTAGTGTCGACAGCAAGTAATGCGGTCAGTTGCGAGTTCGAACCCTGCCAAGGGAACTTTTTTTCTAATTTATTTGGTGTTGGCATAAGAGGGTTCAGGATATTCCCTAGTCGGGAGCTCTTGTTTATAAATATATATATGTATGTACGTATATAAGGCGTATACACTGCATACATTTTTTTAACTCTTTTATTGCTGGTTGTATATTTGCCGTTGGGTGGTCAAGAACGTATTCCTAACGGCATTTTAAAGCAATGTGTGCCACTGTGCAAAGCAGACGGTGTGAATACTGCTGGCTGTCCTCAAGAACTGCTTTTGTTGGTTAACACAGTATATACGAATGGTTGGAAACGATGAAGAAGTTTGCTTATTATAAGAGAGCAAAGCCCATGCCATCATATTCGTACTCGTACTTCACTTTCTTCTTTTATTTTGCCTTTTTCTTGGCTTCCTTTTTGTCGCCACCGCCGCCAACGGGCATCTCGTGACCCTCCTTGATCAGATCGTCTATGCTCTTGTCCTTCAGCTCCACGATCATGCGGGTGAGACGTTCTGCGTCGGACTCAATGCCCATCGAGCTGAGGATCTTCTCCAGATCCTCATTGGCGGGGCTCTCTTGTGCACCGAAGACAGCCAACAGGTATACAGCCACATAACGCATGTTTAAGTATTAAGTTTTTGACACGGAAAAACTCAACTTTTGCCAAAGGGACCTTTAAACGTTCCTACGGCAACTATCTGATTTAGTGGTTTGGTGATAAAAGGAGCTTGCATATATGTTGGAAGTGTAGTAAAACTAAAAAGAGGTCCATACAAGAACCTACTTTTCGATCGATGGATTGGCAGCTATGTACTGCTTGCAACAGGAAAGCGGACCTATGCACAGCTTCAAGACTGATACTTTTTTGCACATAAAGAGAGACGAACATGACCATATAAACTTGGCTGCTGATGCTGATCTAAAATAGTTCCACATTCAAGCTGAAGTAAAAGCGTTTTTATTTGGATGCAGCTGACTTTGTTATGCTTGTTCAAAGCCTAACAATAGCTTAAAGAAAACCCAAATCGCGCTACGCCCTCGTTTGAAGTAGTAAAGATAAATTTAAAAAAAAATTCTGTTATCAGGGTTTAAACTCGCAACTGACCGCATTATATGCTGGCGGCTCACCTCAAAAGCCACACCACCAATAAAAATAAATAACTTCCCTGGATGGACTTGAGCGCGCGACAGACCGCACCACTTGCCACTGCATCTACTCAACAGCCACACCAACAATTGAGTCGTATTGAGAAAAAAAAGGAATTAAAATAGTAGTCAAAACAATCTCAATTGCAATGTTGTTGATAGAATTCGAAGCAGACGCGCATGTATGTGTATGTGTGTACATGTAAACAGATATTCCACAAACACGTGTTTCTTAACCATTCATCATGAAATGTTCTACAATATATCTAATTGTACCATAGATTATTTGTGTATTCTCAGAAAATCAATTGCATTTCAATTGTGGCTAAAATTGGTGAGCAATAAAAGTTGGGTTATTAACTTGATTTAAGGCTCTACGATGGTAGCGGGGAGGTGGGGATAGGTATAAAAAGAAAGATACTTGATATATATAATTTGGTGACTCTAGCTCTTATTTCTTACCCAATTTGCTCAAATTACTGGATGTCGATATCTATTTTCATTGATTGCTTGGAAATGGAGTAAGTGTTCGATTATCGGAAAAAAACTCAATCTGCGTATGGATTAAGTGGACCGACAGCTAACAGTGCTCCTTGTGTTTATACATACGGAGGGACGAACATCAGAATATGTATACTTTATGGGGTCGGAGATGCCACATGAATTATTACAGAAAACTTGTGGCAGGTCACGTGTTTGTGCCAGCTAGCGCAAACTGCAAGAAATTCTTTATACAAGTGCTCAAATGTAGGCGTTGCAAGTGGTTCGGTTCGAACTTATTATACCCTTGCAGAGGGTTTTATAATTTTGTCATGAAATATGTAACTTATAGAAAGAACATCATAGAAGTTGTCAAACCGATCACGGCATGGCAATAGATCAAGAGCGTCTATGAATATTGCACAGTAACACCAGAAGCTCAAGCTTCAGTATGCGACAATCCACGACTTTAAAAAGCTCAGACCGGAAAACTTAAAGCCACTGTCAGCAACGGCAAACAAAGTGAGGGCTATCAGTCGTCGATTATTTATAACGGATCAACCTATAAAAATAAGATACTTGATGGACACATGCGCTGAGCTTTCAATTACACCTCTTACAGATCACATCGTTCACCCTGCAAACTATCTTTACGGAGCAAATGGCACTGCAACAAAAATCATCGTAGCTTTGAGTGAGTGGTGAAACGGCCACTCCAACCGCTGAGATATCTAAACTACAGTAGGGCAAAGCATATATTACCGTGAGTTGCTGGCGATTTTTTCGCCAAACACTTTTCACATATGGTCGAAGGTTGCAGCTGCACTGTACTGTACAGCTTTAAAGCAGGAAGGCATAAGTTCTTATTGAGAATTCTTCACTGCAATAGTAATTGCACTGCAATAGTGTAGAACTGTAGTAACAGTACACCACTGAAATTCATAACCGGACGTCTCGTCTGGAGAGACATAAATGCCAACAAGCGCTTTAAAAGTTCAACCTGCCTGAAAAGCGATTCAAAAATATCAACTTTACTAAAATTGGCCCCATGCTACGTTCCAACAATTACAGGTACAATCTGATGTGCACGCGTATGCTGGTCGCTTGTAGTCCCAACAGCAGAAATAAATTCAGAGACGGTACATAAAGTTCTCACTGCAGCGTACCTTATTTCATGATTACCGATTAAGGCAGACAGTTGAAGTCTTAAATCGGCAAAATACCCGCAAGCCAACGGCATTATAGAAAGAATGCACAAGAGGCTCAAGATCGCCTGAAGATCAAATACCATATTAACTGAATCGATAGCCTTCCCATTGTACTACTTGGCCAAAACGATTTCAAACATGTACATATTAACGACTCTCACTTTCGACCGAGTTAAGGCAACTTAGACGTACAAGATGCAACATTATCTCCTCCTGCAACTAACATCGACAACTGAGAAAAGAAGGAAATCTTTGACACGCCTTTGGCAGATACGTGACAAAAGTGAAATTCGTAAATGCAGTGTTTGATCTTCGACCACAAAATAGTTTGCAATATATTTTTATACCCTGAACCCATTGAAAATGGGTTAAAAGGGTATATTCTATTTGTGCAAAATGCAAATGTATGTAGCATGCAGATGGAACCATCTCCGATTCCATAAAATATATATATTCCTGATCAGCATCAATAGCCGAGTCGATCTAGCCATGTCCGTCTGTCTGTCCGTCCGTACGTATGTATAAACGCAAGGATCTCCGAATCTATAAGAGCTAGAGACTTGAAATTTAAGATTCAAATTTAGATGTCCTCCTAGTGCCTGCGCAGATCGAGTTTTTTTCCGATAATCGATAACTTCCTCCGTTTCCAAGCAATTGATAAAAATCGATATCGACATCCTGTTTTTTATCGTCACCTTTCCGCTACCACCCATGAGCTATAGATCAAGTTAATAACCGAAATTTTATTGCCAACCAATTTTAGCCACGAGTTAAATTCAATTGACTTTTTCAGAATACACAAATATTCTATGGTACAATAAGATATACTGTAGAAAAGTTCATAAAGATCGGTTAAGAAAGAACCAAAGTTATATGCAACTACGCAATTGGATAGGGCAGCCTGCGAATCTTTCACACACACATTCATGCGCGTCTGCTTTGCATTCTAACAGCATGGTAATTACGACTTTTTTCTGTTTTAGTTCCTTTTCTTATCATAAATACTTA